AAACATCAATGACAAGGACAGAGTATTTAAGGCAGCCAAAAAGAGAAAAAAGGTCACCTATAAAGGAAAACCCATCAGGCTATCATCAGACTTCTCAACAGAAACCTTATAGGCCAGAAGAGAATGGCATGATATATTTAATTCAATGAAACAGAAGGGCCTTGAACCAAGAATACTGTATCCAGCACAATTATCATTCAAATATGAAGGAGGGATTAAGCAATTCCCAAACAAGCAAAAGTTGAGGGCATTTGCCTCCCACAAACCACCTCTACAGGGTATTTTAGAGGGACTGCTCTAGATGGAAGCACTCCTAAGGCTAAATAGATGTCACAAGAGAAAATAAAACCACAGCAAAGAAAGTAGACCAACCAAATACTAACTAAAGGCAAAAAATAAAATCAACTACCCACAAAAGCAGTCAAAGGAAACACAAAAGAGCACAAAATAAAACACCTAACATATAAAGAATGGAGGAGAAGGAATAAGAAGGGAGAGAAATAAAGATTTATCAGACTGTGTTTATTATGGCTTAAGAAGCAAGTTAAGTTAGTAAGATAGTAAAGAAGCTAACCTTGAACCTTTGGTAAACACACATGTAAAGCCTGCAATGGCAATAAGTACATATCTTTCAATAATCACAGTAAATGTAAATGGACTGAATGCACCAATCAAAAGACACAGAGTAATAGAATGGATAAAAAAGCAAGACCCATCTATATGCTGCTTACAAGAGACTCACCTCAAACCCAAAGACATGCACAGACTAAAAGTCAAGGGATGGAAAAAAGATATTTCATGTGAACAACAGGGAGAAAAAAGCAGGTGTTGCAGTACTAGTATCAGATAGACTTCAAAACAAAGAAAGTAATAAGAGATAAAGAAGGACATTATATAATGATAAAGGGGTCAGTCCAACAAGAGGATCTAACCATTATAAATATATATATGCACCCAATACAGGAGCACCAACATATGTGAAACAAATACTAACATAATTAAAGGAGGAAATAGAATGCAATGTATTTATTTTAGAAGACTTCAACACACCACTCACTCCAAAGGAAAGATCCACCAGACAGAAAATAAGCACACAGAGGCACTGAACAACACACTAGGACAGATGGACCTAATAGACATCTATAGAACTCTATACCCAAAAGCAGCAGGGTACATATTCTTCTCAAATGCACATGAGGCATTCTCCAGAATAGACCACATACTAGGCCACAAAAAGAGACTCAGAAAATTCAAAAATATTGAAATTCTACCAACCAACTTCTCAGACCACAAAGGTATAAAACTAGAAATAAATTGTACAAAGAAAGCAAAAAGGCTCACAAACACATGGACGCCTAACAACATGCTCCTAAATAATCAATGGATCAATGACCAAATCAAAATAGAGATCAAGCAATATATGGAAACATGACAGCAACAACACAGAGCCCCAACTTCTGTGGGATGCTGTGAAAGCCGCTCTGGGAGGAAAGTATATAGCAATCCAGGCATATTTAAAGAAGGAAGAACAATCCCAAATAAATAGTCTAAAGTCACAATTATTGAAATTGGAAGAACAGATGAGGCCTAGGGTCAGCAGAAGGAGGGACATAATAAAGATCAGAGAAGAAATAAATAAAATTGAGAATAAAACAATAGAAAAAATCAATGAAATCAAGAACTAGTTCTTTGAGAAAATAAGCAAAATAAATAGGCTTTTAGCCAGACTTATTAAGAGAAAAAGAGAATCAACACACATCAACAGAATCAGAAACGAGAAAGGGAAAATCACGACGAACCCAACAGAAATACAAAGAATTATTAGAGAACACTATGAAAACCTATATGCTAACAAGCTGCAAAACCTACAAGAAATGGACAACTTCCTAGAAAAATACAACCATCCAAGATTGACCAAGGAAGAAACAGAAAATCTAAACAAACCAGTTACCAGCAACGAAATTGAAGCGGTAATCAAAAAACTACCCAAGAACAAAACCCCCGGGCCAGATGGATTTACCTCGAAATTTTATCAGACATACAGAGAAGACATAATACTCATTCTCCTTAAAGTTTTCCAAAAAAATAGAAGAGAAGGGAATACTCCCAAACTCTATGAAGCCAGCATCACCCTAATACCAAAACCACACAAAGATCCCACCAAAAAAGAAAATTACAGACCAATATCCCTGATGAACATGGATGCAGAAATACTCAACAAAATATCAGCAAAACAAGTTCAAAAATACACCAAGAGGATCATATACCATGACCAGCGATGCAAGGATGGTACAACATTTGAAAATCCATCAACATCATCCACCACATCAATAAAAAGGACAAAAATCACATGATCATCTCCATAGACACTGAAAAAGCATTCGACAAAATTCAACATCCATTCATGATAAAAACGCTCAACAAAATGGGTATAGAGGGCAAGTACCTCAACATAATAAAGCCCATATATGGTAAACCCACAGCCAACATCATACTGAACAGCGAGAAGCTGAAAGCTTTTCCTCTCATATCGGGAACAAGACAGGGACACCCACTCTCCCCACTGTTATTCAACATATTACTGGAGGTCCTAGCCACAGCAATTAGACAAGACAAAGAAATACAAGGAATCCAGATTGGTAAAGAAGAAGTCAAACTGTCACTATTTGCAGATAATGTGATATTGTACATAAAAACCCTAAAGACTCCACTCCAAAACTACTAGAACTAATATTGGATTTCAGCAAAGTTGCAGGATACAAAATTAACCACAGAAATCTGTGGCTTTCCTATACACTAACAATGAAATAATAGAAAGAGAAATCAGGAAAACAATTCCATCCACAGTTGTATTAGGATAAAATACCTAGGAATAAACCTAACCAAGGAAGTGAAAGACCTATACCCTGAAAACCACAAGACACTCTTAAGAGAAATTAAAGAGGACACTAACAAATGGAAATTCATTCCAC